TATACAGAAGCCTGATGATGGCAGATGAGATTCTGCTGAAACGTTGCTACAACTTTAAAAGCACAACTGCAATGACGTGGGAAAATACCTGAACAAAGCTGAATGCCATACATGTAAGTACCTGCGAAAACAAATATATATACACACACACACACACACATACACAAATACTGTATATGTACAGTATATATACACACACTGTATATATACATACATATATATGTACATATATATACACACACACACACACACGCAAATATATATTATATCATATAAATATAAAAAACATATTATTTCCCAAAGAAGCATTAAACTAAACAGAAACAAAAATGTCTAAACTAAACAGAAACAAAAATGGTTGAACAACTCCAACAACCACACCAGCATTTCTATGGTATCTTATTTCTAAATAAAGCTTTACAGAAAATACTGAAGCAGGTACCTTCTATATGTGGGACTTCTCCCTGAAGCTTAGCTTTGTTTGTAAAGGGGGCATCTTGCAACACCAATGCAAAAAGAGAAGGTATCAAGGATTGTAAAGCAGAAAGATACATGTGGAGTTTATGTTCATCCAGTCCATGTTCACTTTCCTGTAACATATGCCAGAAATCTAAATTACAACTTTTTTTTTTTACTACATAGCCACTCAACAGCATTTCCTAAAAAGCATGTGTGTGTGTGTGTGAGAGAGAGAGAGAGAGAGAATGTATATGTATAGTTGATCAGTCAGACCTTTATTATGATTAATAACCAGAACTCCACTTAAAGAAGGTAAAAATGAAAAGTAACAAAAGAAGATAAAAATAATCAATACAACTTGTATTGTTTCTAAAACCAAAATAGATTTTACAAACAATACAAGAAATTTTGACTATGTTCAAAGAAATTCAACCATACTGATTTGCTAACAACCGTATAAAAAATAAACTGAATGACCTGGAAATTTAGTCATTAGGGAAAATATAAAATGTAGACATGTGTTTTTATAAAATGGGAAGTACAATATAAGGATCATATTTTCAACTGCCATGTAGTTAGGACGCTCGTTTGATAAATCAGGCAAGCACAGATTTGAGACCCGAGTGCTGCACAGCACGGTAGGTTATGTGGTTAGGTATGTGCTGGGTTAACAATTGGCAAGCATGCATTTGACGACCCAAGTGCTGCTGCATGGCGGAGTGAGCTCCTCTCAATTCATTCCAGTTGTTGCTGACCTAGCAGTTTTAAAGTGAGTAATCACAAGTAGATAGATAGGTACCACTTTGGTGGGCATATTAACAGGATCATGAAAGGAGCCCCAAACCGGGCATCCCCTGGGCAATGGTGATGTGGCAAATTCTTTTATTCCAGAAGTGTCTCAGTGCTTCCAACAAGAAAGCAGCAGCAGTTTTCAACTTCCCCTTTGCCACAAGGACAGAATCTTAAAAGAATAACAGATTTTCCTGAATTTCCTTCATGGATAGCTATTGCAAGTGTGTCAAAGTGACATGACTGTTTTTCACACTTATGAGTGTTGCAACAACTCCATGGTCATGTGATCAAAATGTGGATGCTTGGCAATGGTATGTATTTACTGTATGACAGTTGCAGTGTCCCAGGGTCATGTGACCATTTTGTGACTTTATGACAAGCAAAGTCAATGAAGAAGCCAGATTCACTTAACAACTATGTTACTAACTTAACAATTGCAGTGATTCACTAACAACTAAGGTAAGAAGGGTTGTGAATTAGAGCAAAACTCACTTGACAATTACCCTGCTAACAGAAATGTTGGGCTCAATTGTGATCGTAAGTTGAGGACTACCTGTATTTATATTTCCACTACTTTTACATACATCCCAAATTACAGTAAATTTAAATAGGCAACTCAAAGGTCTTAAGATAAATGTTTAGCAGAATAATAAGGAAGATGGACGATGGTCCTGTTCACAACCAAATATATCAATACATCTTTGCCTTGAAGTAAAAGGCACCAAAACTATTTGGTTTATATTAAAACTTCTTGTCTTTCACAAATGATAAAAAATATCTGATTTCTTATATATTTTATATATTTACCTTGAGTAATTTTTCAATTTTACTAAGCAATGTAGGTATAAGATGCAACTGTAAATTTCCTAATTCTGTAGTCCAAGCAGCATAAGCTGGTAAGAATACTTGATGAGTTGCACTAACCACTCGTTCTGAGGGATCACCCAATGCTGAGAGTAATAGTTCAAATCCCTGGCAATACATGGAAAAACACATGTATGAATGTTACTTAGTTTAAATACATAACATAATGAAATACCAGTAGAATTTTATGTACATTTTAGTAGGCTTAATTATAATTCTATTGAGATTCTGCAACTCTAGGTTGTGGCCTTTCCAAATAGAAAAACAGCAGGAATAAACAAAAAGCAGAAATAAGAAATCTGATCACTCCGCACCTTCACAATCACAACTAGACTCTCTGAAACAGCAAAACAGAAAAGGGGTCAATAGAAAATGTTTTGATTTAAGATTTTATGTTAAACTGTGTAAAATGTATTTTTTTTTTCTTTTTAAAGGAAAAACAGCAAAACAAGAAAAAGTGAATACTTGTTTTAAATTTCTAAAATTACAGAGTAAATATGATTTATATGGTAAGAAAATGAGGAACATCATTCATATAAAAAGTGCACAAGCATTCTAGATACTGATGACTCTGAATAATTTAAGTAATGAAGGTTATTCAGTAATTGTACAAAATACTTTACCCTGGATCACTGTAAACAATATATTTCATATGCTTGTACTCATATACATATAATCAGGCACAATACCTGCTGGTATTTGTCTGGATCATCAATGTATCCCATGATGATACCAAGACTTTTGATTACAGCTTCTCGTACCAAATCTGCTTTATCTTCCATTAGCATCTGCTGTAGCATGGAAAGAACCAATGAACTACGAATTTCTTTCTGAAAATAAATAGTAACCTGGTATTAGCCAGCACTGCATACTTCAAAACTGCAAAGGCCAATTAGTAGCAAGATAGCTTTTAGTCAAAAATTAGCTACAGGAAAATGGCAAGACTTCAAGAGGATGATTATTAAAGTTATCATATGTTCACCACTCTGTTGTTTCAGATGGTTGGTGGAATAAAAACATGCCACTTAAGGAACCCTCTGACTCAATACTCTTTTATTTAGTTTTACTTTTAAAAAAAGATTTGCTGTTTGTTTGTTTTTGCAGCTCCTGAAAAGTGCTTACATCTTGGTTTATATTACATTTTTATTTTTATTTTAGAAAAGGGTACTTTACAAGTAAAGCATGATTTTAAAAAAATATGTTAGATGGTTTTAAAACCTTTTTTTTTTAAATGAAAGATTTAAAAAGTTTTAAATAAAAGAAAATGAACCTGATTCGGCCATGAAGTCTTGGTTAAATATAAAAAAATGCAACTGCCAATAAAATATAAATGATAATTTATATTTATATTTTATTGGCAAGTACTCAAAACTTTCTGAATTCCTTCCGGTTTTGGTAGTGTAATTTGGGGAGGATATAAAAATGAAATACTGGGATTTGGCACAAGAATACTATAGATTACTTAATTTTTATAATAGACCATGTTGTTTTTACTTGAACCTAACAATAAGCCAGGAAATATGATAACACTACTACAAAGCTCTTCCTTGAATCTCACTGGATTTTGGTTGTAGACCACAGCTTTAATCTCTGGACAATATATATTCAATTTAAAGAAGTAACAACAACAACAACTGCATATAGAACTCTTACAGGAAGATATGGTGCCAATGCTCCACAAGACTCTGCTACTAATAGCCGCCTTTCTGGATATTTGTGATTGATCTGTGGGAGACAATTTTTTTTCATTAATATTTGTTAACATTTACTCCTGTAATTTGGCTACAATATTTTTTTTATAAATCCCGTATTATAAAGTGAACAATAAGAAGTTTCATTTTAGTAACTTCTTCAATTATCTTCTATTTACAGACTGAACAGAAAATTTCCTTGATTTTCACAGAAAAGGTATATCTGACTTTTTTACTTGAGAAATGGTCTATTCAGATTCTGATTCAAACTCTTCTTGATTTTTATTAGCCTGGAATTTGTTCTGGCAGATTTATATTTCACCATATGTGATTTTAAAATGCTACTGATCGTATTATTATGGCTGGGAAAATATGATTTTATAGTTAATTAAATGCAAAATACCTGCTCCCAACACTGTGGCAAGAGTTCAGCTTCTACACGTGTAGGTCCAACATGCTGTGCAAATGCTACACACCCAGTCAAAATCATTTGCCTAGTAAAAAAAAAAAGAAACAAGCCTATTATGAAAAAAATATGCTAGTGTAACCTGCAAACATTTAGCAAACAGCAGATGCACCATCTGAAAGAATAACTAAGATAATTGAACCAGATGGCTCTTTTACTCACAGCCAGTCAACAATTGATAACACGAATAACTTTCAAAGACAAGCTCTTTTAAAAAGTATATTTTTCTTTATTTCTGCCGGAAATGCACACTTTTATCTTGTTTTTGTATACAATGGAATTGACTTTACAAGTAGTCCTTGTTTAGCGATTGTATCATTTAGCAACCATTCACATTACCATGGTGATGAAAAAGTAATTTTATGGCAGTCAATGCAATTATAAGCTTCTCAGGCCTGGAAAGCAAACTTGAAGTAATATCATAGTCATAATTCCATTTAGGGACCTTTTTGCTTAATGATTGAGTTACTGGCCCCAATGTGATAGCTAAATGGGGACTACCTGTAGAAAAATGCTGCTCATATTTTGGAAAACAAAATAAATGCAGTTATGGTTTTTCATAAGTGAATATATAAAATATACACACTGTAAGAAAAATGCTGTAGATAAAACGATCCACAATGTGAATATATACTATAGCAGAATGAAGTCTAGATAATTTATATTGTGCAAAATTAAATATATACTTTATGTAAGTTATAAATTGAAAAAAAGTGAGAGGGAAAGAAAAAATATAGATCTTTTATTAATATATGTAAACACTTCAAAATGCTCAGAACTGTTTATCCTGTTATATAATCAGAAGATTTGGTCTACTGTACTGCTGACTTGTTTGAATAAGGAATATTTGGTTAATATCTCCTGTATATCAAATTGGCAACATATAGCTAAACATTTATTTTTCTATGAAACTGAATCTTACACTATATTTAATTTTAAACATGTTTTTAAGAAATGTAACTACCCACTACCTACCATTCAATACAGGGGTAGAAATAGTCTTCTAAGGTTTATAAAGATGTCAGTTCCTCAATTAGCACTGCATCATCTCCCTTCAAAAATTAAATTCTGCTTGAAGAATCTGCAGTTTGCTCTAAGTCTGTGCTGCAAAGCCAAGATAACTTCTCAGATAATTTGATTTTTTAATATTTTTCTAAGGACAGTCTCATGAGACACAACCTGATGATTAGAGCTTGACAATTACTTTTTTTGTTATGTTACTTCCCCAAGGCAATATCCAGGAGTGGACTCAAAGTTTGAGGATTAGTCATAAACCTATTTACTATAAGTTTTCTGAACAGGGAATGGATATATAGTATTTATTTCAAATCAATCCATGGTAGATTTATGATTGCTCAGTAATATTATACTATGAACTATTTGAAATTTCAAATAAATTGTGAATATAAGAACAGTAGCTAAAAATAAGGCAAAATAGATGGAAAATACCTAAACATTTTTAAAAATATATACTCAAGTGGTTTATACAAGAGAGATCATTTGAAGAAATCAAAACAAGTTTTAAAAATAAACTATTTTGAAATAAAGAGATTAGATTTCAGGAGAACTGAATGAAAAGTGGCCTATTTATGTGGCCACGTAGTACTGAACAGGGCAAACTTTTTTTTTATAACTCAATGCTATTATGAAATTAAATAAAAACTTACTTTTTTCAAAGTGGGCAAACATAAGTGTTATTTTGTCATAAGGCAGGGTTAGATGGCTGATCAGATAAAGTGCAGCAATTTATTTTTTTTGTTTTTATAATCAGGGATAGCTCCTTGTAGAATTTCCCCTCAGATATCAAAACAATTCAGACAATAATCCATTGGAAATAATATGCACCCATTCCTCAGTCCTTTTTTCTTTCTTTTTACAATCTTAAAATTGTTAATTCTGGGTAGCATTGGGATGGCTAAATGGAGCTGAGTGTTCACTGGCCTTCCTGATGCCTATGTGGAGTTCACAGCAGGTATCTTCTCTTTGCGCTCTGAGAGAGAAGCATCTGCTGCTATCTTGGATTGAACTTTCAACCTTCCAAGTGGGAGGTTAGTGTCTTCACCACTAGGCCACCACATCGCTCCTATTCCTCAGTCCTAAATGCTGAATATATCAAGGGAGTAAAGATTATTAGGAACTTATACAGACATAAGTTTTTTTAATCTGTTTGTCTATACCAGGGCTGTCAAACTTGCATCGTCACGGCAGCATAACCTGACATATCAGGACTGTTTTTCCTTTGCTAAACTAGGCATGGGTGTGGCCAGCGCATGACGCATCTGGCCCATGGGCCACAAGTTTGACAGCCGTGGTCTATACTGATGCTATGAATATTATGTTGCCACTTAGGACATTGCTGAAAAATGCTTATATTACCTTTGACAATTTATATAGCTACAATATTTAAATCAGGCTAGAAACTTATTGAGAGAAAATCTGCAATAAATAAGTAACCCCTGACTTAAAAAGAAGTCTGAAAGAGAAAGCCTCCTGCTAATATAAAGCACACACCTTTGCTCATCATCTGGCCTTTTGATCAAGTTGAACAGTATGTGTAGGAGTTGATCTCTTTCTTTAGGTTCAGGATGGAGGCAAGCTGTACACAGAATGAGTGGAATCAACTCCTAAAAAGAGTGCGAGTAGGAAGGAAAGCAAAAGCTATCAAGTGATGTTAAAGAACATAGAAGAAACATTTAAAACTCTAAAGAGTAATACAATTATTTCACATATTTAATTCATTATCAACACAATTTATTTGCGCACAAGCATCTTATGAACTCAGAAAACATTGTCCATATACATTATAGCTGTAAGTTCTAGTATCTGAACAATCTTGTCTTAATCCATGTTTCCTTACTTGAAACTGAAGGAAAAAAAGTGGTTTAAACCACTGTAAATGAGATTGAGTATAAGATTAACTTCTCATTATGTTGATTGCCATACAATAAACTTAATTCATTTTTATTTTGATACATTTTATATAAGACATCTTTATAGCAAAAAGGACTTTATGCCTATTTACAGAAGTTCAATCTGATTTGCAAGCAATTTATATTCGAATTCTGATATTTTAACTACTTCACATATTTGTGCTACTATACAATATGCCTTCCAAATCAGGAAAAATTTCAAAGAAAATTGGTATAATTCAGAAATGTTTCATTTGCCTAGTTCTTGATTATTATTATTTTTGGCAATGTCACTATCAATCAGATATATAAAGGATCATTCTACTGCTGTTAAAAGAAATACTGTATATTTGTTTACATGGAAGTACATACACTTCACTAAACTATGGTTAAGTCTATAAAAAATCTCTTTCTATATAGATAGCTTTTCAATTTTCAATATGTCTAAATCAGATGGTACAGATTCCCAAAGGCAGCTGTGACTTTAAAAAAAACCTCTTTCCTTGATCTTTATGTCCAAACTAGACATTTTCAACAATACCCCAAGTTAGTAAAACTTTAATAAGATGAATAGAACAAAAAGTGTTTCCTTAAATCTTTAAACAATGAAAGATTATCTGAATAGACTACTTTAAATTCCACATATTCTCTGCAACTCATTAACAAAAACAAACAACCACTCCAAACATAAGACTCAGATTTTAGAATACTAAGAAATTAAAATATATCCCAATTTATTCCAAGTCTGGAGAGTACATGTAGCAATAGAGCAATATTTCAGTATGGTAAAATTGGATGCTCAAGTTTCTCCTTCAGAAAAAATGGTATTATGAATTCAAACATTCCTTTATGTTTTTGGTTTATATAGCTTAGGAAACATATAAGTTTAGCATCAAATTGTGGGAATCAAAGTTGTAGACATAGGCTGTAAATTATACATAGTGATTTCTTATGTTGGCTATGTAATGAGACAAAATATTAATAAGAGTTAAAGTCCAAACCCTTCTGGGGGATATTTGATTGCTTATCTCTTGAATCAGTAATTTTATAATTACGTATTAGATTCTGTCCACATCAAAGTATTTATTCTCATAAATGGTAAGAAAATACAATGTAAAAGCAGTCAGACTTTATAGGTTTTCTCAGTTGACTAGCACTGAACCTCACTATACTGCCTTTCAATAATAAAAAATATAAAATTATCTTGAAAGACAAGAAGACTAACTACATGAAAAATTTGGAAACAAACTTTATTAATAAAAGAAAAGCTACAAGACAGAGTTGAGCTTCTTTATGTTTATTGCAGTTTCTATTATCATGACATTTCTTCTTCCATTCCAATCTAATTATATAACTTAATATCAAATGATGTTGAGTGTATGAAAAAAGGCTCTATTTTTGCTTGCTTCAGAATTCAAGTCTTTCTCAGCTTCAGTAATCTTGCATTTAATTGGGTCAAACTACCGAAAGAGGTTAATAGGCAAAATACCACCCCATTTTAAAAGTCTGAATCAATATAATAAATTCTTTGAATCGTCTAAAGAAATGAGTATTTTTATAGAATATTATTCCAAGGAATGCAATGCAAAACATTATTGTTGTAAAAGTCTCTCCAAGAAACTCTAGTTTCCAAAAGGAGAAATCCAAAATGAAAAAATTGTTTACAAATAAAATAAAAATGACCAAAGAATGGAGAATGTCTTGGCTGAAGAGTGGATTAAGAGTGGACCCTGAAAGTGGATTAAGATTTTTCTCAACAAAACAATTACCTAACTAAAATAAACACTCTAAACAATTTCCGTATCTCTAAGAATACATATTATTTTTCAAATACATTATAAGAATATACATAAAGAAGGATATATAAAGGTAATGTAAACATAATTAAGTATGAAAAGAACATTTAGTATTTTTGAAAGTCTCTTGAAATAGACTTGATGAATGGAGAAAATTTCACTAGTTTTGTAACAGAAAAAGATGAGACTATATTTACAAGATAGATCCTAAATATGACAAAACAAGGTCAGGAAATATCTGTTTTGCTAAGTGGAGTCACATCTTGATGCAAGACTGCATAGCAATTGCACAAGGACATATACAATATTAATCTCATGATATACAACTGGGAAGAATTTTAGATTTAATTGATATTTAATTTAGTTAATTCAAAAACTCTATTTGATCACGTTATCTGAATATCCAATGAAGTTGTGGGGTGCAAAATCATTTATAGTTGTTTTTTTACACATACACACTTTGTATGTTTACATATTTTTGAATATGTAAAAATATTTAATATTTTGAAATATCAGAGGAGAAGTACCGTAATCCTGAACACATATATAGTAGTATTAATCCTCTTTACAAGTTTGCTGGAATTATGTAACATTAAATAAATAAAAAGAAAGCAATATTCCTTTTTCTTTACATACAATTTAAGAGTTGTGATTTCAACTGATAAGTCAATATCAAACCTTGAGGTTTTTAAAAGAAAATTTGTAGAGCTATTGGCTAGAATTTTTTAAAAAGTCATAATTCCTAATTTTCACAGTGAACAGAAAAATCAAGTGAAATTAAATTTTGGATTGGCTTTGGCTAGTAATAGGAATATAGTTTTATATAACAGGCACTTCCTTGTTGCCCCACTTAATATTACCATGGCCTTGCATTGTCTGTAAACAGTCAGTGCTATTGAATACAAAACTGTGTTGTCATTATACATAAATATTACTGACATACAACTATATACTAGCGTAAACATGAATACATTCCATGTCTTCTGTCCACACAGAAAAAATCAGGACAAATATTTATTTCATGTTTATTCAACATTATGTAATAAGAAGGCTTATCAAATCTTGGATCGGAAAACTTGTCAAGATGAAGGTCCTCTTCAATATTCTGCAATGAAGTAGAATATTGTAATAAAAAAAGAAACCATTCAGGTGACTTTAAAAACAAAGTCTATAATGGCATTGTGGAATAATAATGAATTCGTCATACAAAAAGATGTATGGCGAATATATGGATTCAGATATTAGTAACTGATTTTTAAAGTAAAACAATTACTTGCACTTCCTATATTTCTTTTTAATTAAATATTTTTGTTCTTATCCCCACAAGAATACATGTGTAAAATAATCATTACTTGAACTTCCTATATTTTGTACTTCCCTAATTAAATAATTCTGTTCCCATTCCTACAAGAATAGATGTATATGAATTGCTTCAATAGGACTATACTCTGAATTTGATTAAGTGGGCTAAAGATTATAAAAGTTGTATTATTCTGCTTCAAGATCTCTAAATAAATAAATAAACAATACAAATTTCAGGATAGAAGATGATAGGGATATTTATGTAACTAGAATGGAGGCAGTGAATGAAAACTTTTATTGGGTTAAAGGGGATTGGAAAAAAACTCCAGTTAGAGAGGATTTTTAATCTTAATCTATATAACATATTAGTTACCCTACATTAAAACACCAACATTTTGGTTGTAATTAGTTATCCAAGATTTAATACTGCACACAGCATTACTAAAAGTGTCTGTATGTAAGATTTAGAGAAGAAAAATCTGGAATATTAATTAAGGAGCATAAGTATATGATACTGAAAATTGCATTTTATAAAAGTATTAAACTAAGAAACTACATACTTAGAAAGCAGAAACAGTTCAGAAAGTATTCCACCAGAAGAGGCACATTCAAAAAGAAATCAGTATTAAATAGCATGATAATATCGGTCAGTAACTCTAAGGAAGATTATTAGATTCTAGACAGTGGTTAGATGTTTATTATATTTGTGATAAATTAGTAGTCAAACTTCCAATAAACCATTTCTTTAAATCATTTGACAATGAACATGATCTTGGAAGTATATTTATTGTTATTTTCTAGAAAGGAGAATGGATATTTAAATATGGGTTTTAGAGTAGTTTGAAAATATAAACAAATAATAAAAAGTTGAAGGAAATTACTACTTTGACGGTTAAAAACAATATTCAGCAGAATAATAGCTGAAATATTTGTTGAATTTTTAATTCTGAGGTTCTACTTAGCTTTTATTATGTGGAATTTTTAATGGTCATATAAACAGCAAATCTCCATTCTACAAATTGATTCTGAAACTTTCAAAATGGATTAGTCTATTTAGGTATGTAGAATTATGCAGACTTTTTAATTAAATGTATTAAGTCTTTTGAAAATAGCTCTGAGATTCTATTTTCCCTTCAATTGAAAAATATTACTGGATGAGATCAGTAACATAACAAGGTATCAGTCTATTATCTTTTGCAAGGTTCTTTCATGCTATCTAGATTGGTTGATATGGGGCAGATACAAGGCTGATGCTTTTACCTTGCAGAAAGCTGGATACTGACTCTGTTGGAATTAGTTGTGTGTCCACGTCCATTGGTCATATTCTTTCATGCATATTATAGGATTGGAGAGTTCTCTGCATCGCTGCATCAGTGCTTCTAAACTTCCTTCTATCAATGGGAGTGGAGAAACAATGAGAAACCTTCTTGAATGTCCTAATGCATGTTGCATGTTTAGTCAATGAAGGGGAAAGGAAAGGAATGACAGAAGCAGAAGGACAAGAGGGTTTACTGAATGGGAAGTAATGCGGAAAGAACTCAAATGCTATATATGGACTCCCTACACTTGAAGATCTCTTAGATTTTTTTTAACTTGAGAACTCTTCCAGTAAAAGAGAGAATATAGCTGCCTTTAGTGTGCTGAACTCTTACGCACACTTACCTGAATTGATTTCCACTGCCTTATTTCTTAGTGAATCAAGAGGTGCAAGAATGTCTAATCTTATAAGAAGAATACAGATCAAATTCTTCTGAACTTAAGGATTTGGCTGGAGGCTATTCCTAAGATTCAAGGTATATAATTACTGTGCATATGCATGATTACTATGTTAACAAGATTGCCATAAAAAAAAGACACGTCCAAAGTGCTAGCTAAATTTACTTCCAGAAGAAAAAGAATGAGAAATAATCTGCCCATGAAAACTGCAGCATGTGATCAATACCAAGGAAAGAGGCTTCCACTTTTATAAATAAAGTGATTCTAGCCTGTTGGGAAGTTATACCATGTGTGCCAATAAAATATACATTTTAAAACTTGCCTATTGCCTATTGTGGCATCTTTCACAGACATACCCTGATCATTTACTTCTATTTTTAAATGATAACGTATTACTTAATATATATTTTTCTGCCCAAAGAGGTAAAAGCATAATCCCAAAGTTCTCAAGCTATAATTCATGACTCTTAAGGTGATGAAACTACATGCATAGGTTGGAGGACAATATTTTTCAACCCTAGTCAGGCATGCCAAAGCAAAGTGTAAGCACTTTATGTAAGCACTGTCGAAGCCTGCCCCTGCTTTGCCTGGCTATACCCATAGGAGGCTTGCAAAACAAAAGAACAAGCAAAGCGCAGAACAAGTTTTGACAGTATTTTTACTTTACTTAAGCAAAGCCCAGAGTGAGTTCGGAATGTTAGCTTGAACTATAGGTCTTACAATAAAATGTTTGAAGACTTATATGCATTAGTGAAGTTCAATTTATTTGTCCTGTATTTTAAGTTTTTAGTATTTCAGAATTAAAAAAAATATTCAGTTATAAATGAAAAAGAAAGATGGCTGAGCTATCAGTACTGCTGAAAAACTTAACATAAGCCAAGGCAGTACAAGGAAATGTCTTTTAGTAAAAGGATTATTTCTTATCCAACCCTAACCTCAATCATGATAGGATGCCATAAATTCATTGACCATTTTAGGGAAAGTTAACTCATTTTCTTGTAAAAAAAATGGTGCCATCAAATGATATTCTCTTTTCTTCCTGCAACGCTGTCCCAATGCCAGTAGATTAAGAGTTGGTCAAACAACTTTTTTTCCCCACCGAATTCAGGATTTCTACAAAAATTGACTATGTAATTTGTTATAATTCTATTACAAAATTTTGGCTAACGTCCAACGAATTGTATAGCTATTTCTGCACATCCAGTGGGAGTTTAAACTTTAATTTCCTGATAGTACTGCTCTTAGTTGTGTGACAAATAGTTTTTGAAACTGAATAGGCTTTTACAAGTAGGTTATAAGAATATCATAGGAAATTGAAAGCAACTAAAGACTCATAAAGTTGTTGATGACAAATTATACACTCTAAGACAGAGTTCTCCAACCTTTCTGGGTTGGCGGTCCGGAGGGGGGGAGGGATAGGCACCTTTACACTCACACACGCAAACAGGCGTGAGTGTGCACGCAGCATGTGCAGTGATACTAGCGCCTACACATTTGTGGAGACACTAGCATTCGTGGTGGGGGGTGCACACCCACACATGAGCGTCCGCTGGCCAGCTGCTCACGCGGCCCAGTGGCCAACAGGCCATGGCCCATGGTTTGGGAGGCCCTACTCTAAATAAAAAAAATGCCTTATGACCAAATTGGGCAAACTGCATTTTTGGATTATAGCTAATTCTTGACTTATGACCAATGGAATCCCCAAAAGCTATTTAAGATCTGAGTTTTGAAGTTCCAATGTCAACTTCCCTGCAGTCACATGTTCACATTTTGGGAGCTTGGCAACAGGTCCATATTTATGGTCATTTGCAGCACCCCAGTTTTGTGCCTGAGTTTTATGATGGTTTTACTGCAAACTGATGTTTACTTCCAGTTTCCAGCAAAATCTGCCCCATAGGTAACAATGTGCTCATTTATTTCCTGTGATGTTTGCTTTATGACCTCATCTGCTTACTGACCGCTGTGAAAAAGGTTTTAACATTGGGCCAAACCACAGGGTGACCCTTTTTACAACCATCATGACTTATGGTTATAATTGCCAGGCTCAGTTATAGTCATAATTCAAGGACAACCTATGACTTCATGACGGAGCCCTCTAGAAGTAAGAATGCTCATCTCTAATATTTTCTTGAGGGAAATAAAGATGGAAAGAAAAGGTGGCTTCACACATTTTGGCTCCAACCTTACCTTTCCAGCACTGCCATATAGCCTTCAAAAATAATAATAATAATAATAAAAATTAAAAAAGGATGCCTACACTTGCTTCATGAAAAATATCAGCATATTATGCCCAAGTGCTGAACTTAGAATCCTTTATCTATCTGTTACAAAGAATCCTATAGATAGCAGCTTTAGTTGTGAAGCTTCAGAGAAATATTGTACCACAATTATAACATGAAAATATAATAGCTAAACTAAACAAATTAGCTGCGGAACTGCATAATTGTCCAATAAATGAACCTTCAAATGAACATAAATGGTTAACAAATTTCACAGGATATATGAGGGCCAGCTGTTTTTGATTTTGGAAATAGGAATTAAAAATGATTACAAAAAAGTATTTCAACAAGCTGTTTATTGCAGCCTTGTATAGAACACATTATATCTTTTGCTATAAGTCTTACTAAAATTATTGAAAAATATTCATGGAATCCATATTTTGCCTAGGAAATGCTTAGAGCTTCTGCAAGTTAATTGGAGTTTTTGATTTATCTTTAAATAGCTAATCTTTATGAAATATAACATGTAAAATTAAGGTATAAATCTAGCCATCCATTTTTTTTATTTTTTTATTTTTTATGATAATGGAAAGAGTATATGGGAATCAGATTAGCTAGTACTCGAAGTTATACAAAATAAGGAAGGGCATCCCTGGATAAATTATTCCAATGAGGATGACAAGAACAGAAGCATGAGCTTTATGCTAGTGCATAAATAGGAGCCTGTGTTAACCATTAATACTTCTTTTGTTTTAAATTCAGAATTCTTATTAGATTCTAAGGATACTAATAACTTGGTAATTGAAAGTTGTTAGCATTCTCTGTTACTGATTATTTGGCTATTTCACATGCAAAAACCAAGATTCTAATATATATATATCTTTATTAATTTTTATGAATTAGATATCAAAGTTAGGATTATCTATTTCCACAAATGTGCAAGGATTAAATAAGCAAAAATTAGGACTGCAGAAATATATAATGTTGAAATATAACTAGGAACTGCAAAGAACAACTAAAGCAGCATCCTGGCAAGCTGAATGGCAACAGCCAGAAATTGGTAACTGATCCTGACAATTTAATGTAGCCTATATAGTATCTTCTACTATAACCTAAACATATGTATCATTTCATACAATTAGGCGTGCAGCATATATAGTCAAAAATTGAATCCCACAATAAAGCATTAACTATTGGAAAATGTAGTAACTGTAACCTGAAGGATCAGTACACATTTCTTGACTTAGTTACCTTTTCATAAAGCTCATAAAGTTAAATGCCCAAGTGCATTACTAGATATCTAGATTAACAGGTAAAGCTAAGCTGGCTCAAAAAGCAATTTTGAATTAAAACAAAGAAAACGCATATAGAACCAACTCATCTTCAGCTCAGACTTCATTGTATCGTTAGAAATGCATCACTAAGCGCCAAATTCTCAGTTAAAATTACATTAAAGGCCCATGTTGATAACAGCAAGCCAGACTTCGGGGTTCTGGCCTGCTAATGAGTGAGCAATATACAGATCTTGCTCTAATCACTCTCAATTATTGGTGCAAACTACTGACAGTTCAATCTGGCCATGCTGTCTGTCTGAATATGGCTGTTAATAAGAAGGGTAAACATTTAAATACATGTCATTTTTAGAAATAACATAACAGGCAAGTTCACTTCAATTCAAAATTTAGGTTCTACTCAAATACAACAATACTAGAACTGGGTTTAGCTAATATAAGTAAGCAAACTTAAGGGCAAAACAGATGGACTCACAGTAACAGCCCTGCAAAGTGCCTTAAGGATCTTAAGCAAAAGGATAAATAGCAGGATACCATGCTGTTTTGCTGAAAACTCACCTGACATAGATGTGCAACCATTTTCTGGGAGTAGAAATGCATGCACAAAAGTGAGAAGATGATTGCAAGTAACAGACTTCAGTATAACAAAAAATACATCATTCTAAATGAATAGAAATATTGTATGAAACTAAACAAATATTCCTATATTTCTTACCTCTCGTTTTGCAAGCAGAACATTAGGAACAATATGTGGTAAACAACGTCCAAGCATCAGCATGACACTTTTTTCACTATCAGCAATTCGAGACACCTAAAGTGCAATTTTTTGGCAAAGTCATATACAGCAATTGTATTATACAACATATCTCTGATAAAAATGTTTAATCTTTCAGAAATTAGCATACAGTTCAATCTAAAATAAAATGCCCACCTTAAACATATTGGGGAAAAGTAAACGCTATCTGAATGTAATTATGTAACTGTTTCAGAGATCACGATGGAATAATGAGAAAGTGCCATTATGTGAATGACTGTCCAAAGGATATTACATTAGTATGTACCTAGATTTCAAAAAATGGTACCTAGACCAAAACACTCATGTGACAATTGGGTAAGGTGTGAAATACATTACTGGCTCAAATCTTAAATTATACAAAGGTAAATGCCTAAGAAAGTGGCCAGAGGTACAATGAAAGACTAATAATCAAAATTGAAATAGGTTCCTTTGCTTAATTCTTATGACTCAATAGGAATTAGTATTTTACAAAAATAAATATACCTCTGATCCCAAACGGCTCTCTGCTGACATCTGGCAAAAAGACAGCAATGCTTGATGGAATGCAGGCGATAGCTTCCTAAAATAGTGGGATGGAAAGGAAATATAAAACATACCAAAAAGCTGTTATTTGTACAAATCTATTTATTTCACAAGTAATCATTAGAAAATAAATCTTCAGTTTAAAAGTTTAATTAAGAATTCTATATTGGAGCCTGAACAATCTTTAGAGGTATAGCTGATCTTTAACAGGAATCACTGTGTTGTGACATATTTTATTTAATCATAAATTATTGAATAAAGCACAGCTGACTGGAGTTGCTCAATATCCTAAACCTAAAACCATGATTTATCATTTATACAACATGCTAAGCCAAAAATGAAAAATTATGTTATGGCTTGGCAAACATATAAGCCTAGTCTGTACTTAGAGAAATATAATCTATTAATTTCTGAAACATGTAACTGAAACAGGGAAACAACAGAAAAATAATCAGTGTGTCAAGATTCTTTCCATTACATATTACAATTCCTCATGGTTAACATAATCCTATGCATTTCTTGATTTCACTCCAAATAAGTGACTGCTAGATAGGTAAGAAACATGGATAACTGATGGCCAATTGTCAACTCTAAAAGACCAGAGAAATATTTAAAGAGAAATCTGGAGCTAAGAATGTTGACATGGAATCTCATAACCTTAATGTACTACATCAGACCTGGTAGGGCAGCTATTTAATTAAAGGTGGAGATGACAAAACAAGAGATCGATTGATTGATCGATCGAATCAGAGACAGAGAGACCTCACAAGCTTTTTTGGTGCTGACAGTATAAATTCAGAATCTGAATGTAGTTGTTAAATCTATTCAATGTTCAATACAATATTTTACTGTAAAAACAAAGCATAGATGAATTTAACTAACCTATTAGGTTTATCAAAATGTATGACAGCTTTATTTGATGGGGAACGAGATGGAAAATTTTCTCTTTCTTTATAAGCAAAAGGTATTCCAATATCCTCTTTAGAAGTCCTACATTCAGATTCTTTTAAAATTATTTCTTCTTCAGTTCTCCCAAGTTTATCATTATTAGATGAACTCTTAATGTCTAAATATTTCCCATTATCATCTGGAAGCGTGGGAGGCACTTGAGCTGAAGATGACTGTACTGTGTCACATATTGTTGGAATGGAGATTTTTTGACTTCTCAAGTAGTCTATTTCACTGCAAGAGAGAAAAGAAAAAGCTTCTGAAACAAAAATTAGTATGTAATAAATCACTTTTAATGACTTATCTACTTCATGAATAAATTTTATAAAATATTTTATTGGACACATCTACCACCAAATTTAAAAATACAGCAATATTTCACTGTGGCTCAAACTACGTGGAACATTCTTACCACTGGAGATGAGAACTTGGTTTTGCTGAGTGACTCTAGGACCCATGGGGGCGCTCATTGCTGGAGGTGGATGATGAGGTAAGATCTCAACCTTGTACCATCCATATCTTGGTTCCTGGGATCCCCCCCCCCCAATAATTTTAAATTTTTAATTTGCATTGTTTTAAAATTTGAACAGCTTTTTTATTTATCTTTTATGATCCGTAAGCCACTCAGAGCTGCCTTATCAGGAAGATGGGAAGCATATATATTTAATAAATAAATAATAAAATAAGTTACTGCCATGCTTTTATATTCATATCCAGCATCCCTCCAAGATCTATTTTCTTCACTCCTTTTAATGCATGAAAATAATTCTGATAAAGATAGCTTGAGGCATATAATAGGTTTTGGTAATGAAAGCTGTTAAACTGAAATGCAGAGAAACAAGTTTTTAAAAGCAGTTTAACTCAATGCTATATTAATTTAAAGGCATAATAAACTGAGACGGATACACTGGTTCATGTACAGCAAATTGCTTATTTTGTATAATTTTTTAAAACAACACTGTAACATACCTTTCAAGTCTTTGTATCTGCTCCATAAGAGACCATTTTTCTGTGCTTAATGCATTAATTTGATCTTCCAATTTCTGCACCAGCACGCATTGCTAAATAAAAGGAATATGACCAAAAAATTAATTTAATTGATTTAAATTGAATAAATTAATTTAATTTGCCATCCTGCAAAATGAATTATACCTCTATTGATTCTGATGTTCCAAATACAGGAATGTTTTCTAGGATAGGAGTAGTTGCCTCTCGTTCATCCTCTTCTGGACCAACTGCTACATCTACAATATCTTTTGCAATAACTTGGTGATTTCCAAAATCACGGTACAGTTGTAGCAAGTCTGGAGGCTTTGGAATGTTCAGTCCTACATCATCCCATAGTTCAAAATCCTTTATATATGCAAAATTAAAATATTTATAAGGTTCCATAAATAAGTATGCAAGTTATCATATCAAATGATAAAATGCAACTTCCAAAAGAGAACTTTAGTTATTGTTACAGGTAACAATAAAAGTAAATTTTACGCTGCTATTACTTGATTATATATTGTTAAAGAAATCAGTTTTAGCTTAAAATGTATGATATAAATTAAATCTCATTCCTTAACATTTAAATGACCACTACTGACATTTGTGTTCAATGTGTGAAGGTTTCACTGATCATAAATAATTAGATTAGTGTAATCTTTGATATAAACAAATTGCATCATTCATGTAGCACAACAAAAATCTCTACCCACAAGCACCTTTTGAAGCTATTTATTTAACAAATTTATATGTCCACCCAAATAATTCTAGATGGATCACAAAATATAGATAAAAATACTATATATAAAAAAAATGAATTGCTATCATTTTAGAAATGATTAATTAACCTCATTACAACAAGAAACAAGACATTCATTCTAGCCACCACTAATTAAACATATTAAGACCTGGTCCTGCTCATTACTTTGGGGAGTACATTCTCCAGCCTGCTATTCAAAATTGCAATGTAGTACATGGCCTGGAAAATACAGTGTGCCCCTCTGACATATATAAATAGATGGTGTTTACTTACTGATGGAAATAAGAATATTTAAGCAAGCTAGGGGGAGCCACAAACCCCACAGAATTTAAAAAAAGATCAAGAAGGATAAACTTTGAAAATATCATATAAGTAATTAATAATTGCTACATCGCAAGAAATATGAATTGATTAAATATAGGAGAATGAAGGTTCATCACACTTAAGGTCTGTAAATACAGTACTGACTGATTATTGGGAAGTAGGAAAAAGGAATGGCTGTCAGGAACATCTGTACTACTTAATTTTAGGACATTTGTTTCACTAATATAACATACAGGAAAATTTCCTAGCTATACATGGGCTCAGAATGTTCCATCAAAAATCAAGCATCAGCAGTGTAGCTTCACAGTAGGTCATCAGCTTTTGATCATTCATACATTAAAATCAGAATAGGTGAATCGTTTGAATTATGATTTATATCAAGATATAAAAAGTATTTATTTTTGCATTAAAAAGATGGGCCTCATTATCCACTATGCACACCAGATATCAGTATCCATAATAAACCAGCTCATATATCTATGGATTTTGGTGGAATTATTTCTGCATGTGTTAAATGTTTTTTTATGGGGGCCTTTTTAATTGTAGTTATTAGCAACAGAATCCTTGTGATTGATGTTTCAAAAAGACAGAAAATTATATTCTTTTCTATCCTTTTTATGAAATTCATCTGTCCTTCCTTATGTATCCCAGACCTAAGCGGGGAGAAAGCATTAAGATGGAGTGGGTGGGAACGAACAGAGAGTATTAAAAAAATATTTCCAGCTGTTTTGGGAACTTTATGTTCATTTTTTTGTTGTTATTTGTTCTAAAACAATGATGCATTTAGATTCAGACCTAACACTTCATATGTTTAGCGCTTTATAAAAGAAAAAGAGAACATTTCAGGAGGGTAAGAAAGAAATCTATTTTCTTCTAGTGCTCTTGGACCAGGTCATCTGGAGTTCAAAACATCAGCCTTACTGTTAGAAATTAGCTTATTATTCCTTACTATGAACAAAGCAATAATTCTACTTTAATTAATTTACGTGAGAGATATACTATATACTATAAACAGGGATTTTTTAAAAAAAGTTAAAAATAACTGGACCCTGTTAGGAACAAAAGGAAAATAGACCCAAGCTCGGAATGTCACAAAGGTGCCATTCCAACTTACCTGATCATCATTCTCATCTGAAAAAGTTATTGAAGTAAGCTTGTATCCATTCTTTAACAAAAATTCATTGACTAAGAAGTTTAAAGCTCTTTTTTCAAGAGGTTTAATTGGTTCCTAGGAAAAATAAATGCATATAATATTTAAACCTTGATGTCATTAAAACATTTTCCTATGATGATTGACAGATATTAAACAAGTTGATTACCCATTTCAAAACAAAACCTACAAGCTTGCACCTCTGTGCCTAAGCATGTTATTTGGTTAGAGATAGGAATGCTGTGAACATAAGCAGATGTAGTACATTGGATCACTCACCTGAATTTCAGGACTTGATTTATAATTTCTTCGTTCCTGCAAAGGAACTTCATTTTCTGAAAATAGCAATACATAAAAAAAATATCATTCTTCAGGCAGTCATGCACCACCTCTTTCTATTTTATCAAAATACAAAAAACTGAGGAAAAGGTTTGTGTACACCACCTGCAGCCTGAGTCAGGTTGGCTCGGAGGGCCTGAATGGTCTCTTTTGCTTTCCGTAGTTCAAACTCCAGGACTGGACAAGGATTTGGATTAAACATACACAGGCATCCAATCAAGAATAGGGAAACAAAAATGAAATATAAAAAAGCAAGGATGGGTGTAAAAATAAAATACAATTTATATTAAAGACAGAGCATGCAATCTTTATGGAACTCATGAACGCATGCAGCAGAGTTAGACTGCAGCAAACTGGTGAAAGATTTCCATGATTCAAACCTAATCTTAGTGACAAGGAGGTGCTATAGATTTTAAGAAATAAAATGTACCTCTTTTTGAAAATCTTGAAAATTTCACATTACAGATTATTATTATATTCGAATCTTTTAAAGTTTTACCTTATACAAATGGAAATATGAGGCCATCTTGCTTTGAGGGAATAAGGAGAATGTGATTAAAACTATAGTTCTGTAAAAAAAGAATGGAGTAATCTGTGATTAAAAAAACAAAATAATTCATGTTAATGCCACTTTACAAAGGATGTTTTAATTCCCATTTTGTGGCATGTTATATGACGTCAGTTGGGTAGAGCAGCTTATCATGTCAACTGAGTTCTTAAATATCTGCAAACTTTGCAAAAAATTATTTAATATTTATTTTCATAAAGAACATTGATTTCATGATGTAAGTTACCTGAAATAAATTTATGAGTTGTTTTCTGCCATAGAAAAGTGATTCATAAAAGATTATCCAATCTTTGAACATTTCCTGTAATTGATCTTGGTTAAGACACCAAGGTACACTAACAGGCAATTACCATTAGAAATATTCTATAGATTTTTTTAGAATTTTTTTTTTCTACAAATGCTCCATTTACCAGTAATACCGATCGATTAGTAATAGGACTATATGGAAAAAATATTCACTCAGTTTGCATTTTTCTTCTTCAAAAACAGAAGGCATAATTAAGTACATCACAACTATTACACAGAAATAATTTGTTTGATGCACAGAATTTTAATGCAGAAATATAAAAGCATAACTGAAGATTTGATGGAAGAGTATAAAAAAAATCTGTAGTAGTCAGCAATGCTGATCTGCAAATATTTCTGTGCAACAAAGTCTAAAAACAATGTGGATATTTTGTATATAAAGTAATAGCTTATAAATTGTCAGTGTTTTCAGCATCTGGATAAGGTTATCTTTTGAAAATTTAATTTAGCTTAAAAGAATTTATGATGGGCAATATTTCTTCCTTAAAATGTATAAATGCATGGTTACAGAACTATTGCAGATCAGAAATGCCCTGCAACAGGATGATAAAAATGTTTTTTTAAAAGAAAAATAGCAAAAAAAAATTAAAAAAATTGTGGAGAAGCTCAGGAATTCCAATAAGGAAACTGAAGTTCAGCAGCGACACAAATCACTGAGAGCACAGAAATCCAGAAAACTCATATAAGATATACCTACAGTATATCAGATGGCAAAGTATTTCCATTACCCAATTATGACATCCTACTACACATGGAGCAGATTTTACAATTATGCCTATTTGTTTTATTAAAACAGTTTACTCTGCTGCATGGTTTCTCTTCAGACATCTTAATAGTTTGAAACAGCTAGTTAATTCAATAGTATATCCCCAATAACTTATAGCTGTAACAAAACCCACTGTTGATCCAGAATTAAGTAATTATATTCGGCTCAAATTAAATCAGAACAGAGTTCAACTTATTATGGAACTAAACAAATACTTAATTCTCTTATTTCCATATTCACTTTAGGAAAATGATACAATGAAGCATACCTATCCTAAAATGTTTATGTAGTAATAAATGTGTTAGACTGGGATTCAGGCAGCCTTTATAAGCATACTATAATTTACTGTCCTAAGATCCCGCCCTTTCCCCAGTCTCCTCTTTTGTAGAACCCACCCTGTGCCATTTTTCATAATTGTTACATAGGTGCCCATGGTACATAAATATGCAAGAGACTTCACTTGTTACTCTTTTAAGGCTACCGAATTAAACTGCATTTACTAAAAGAGAGAGCTACATATTTGGAATTCAAACAGGAATTAAATTTTCAGAGGTTCCACCTCTGTCCACAGTAGTATCTGCAGCAGCTATCATTTTGCAGTGAACATCTGAAGGTTCACTACCTCTGGAAATAATTGTATAATGAATACATATTTTTATTATGTAAAGTTAAGAAATGCAATGTTACGTTTGAAAAGTGTTGCAGTTTTAACATGATTTGCAAAAAATAAATTTCTAAAGTTTTCCAACATGCCTAATTTGCAAGGGCTACATTCAAAGATCACCTTAGCAAAAGGATACCCAAACTTTTGGGGCTGATGGAATTTTGAAAGTGCTATGTGCACCATCACAAAATGGTACCATATCATATGTAGAGCTGGTAGAGGGGAACAGAAAAAGAAAAGATAAATTCAAAGACGGAGGTGAATGAGGAAAAACAAACAACAAAATAGAGAGAAAAAAGAAGAAAGAAAACTGATCTACGCATACATACTCAGAGAAGAGCCACAAATCTAACAAAAGAAAAAAAAAAGATAGACCTTCCCCAGAGTTAGGTTATCCACCCATTGTTTTTTTAGTTATTATTTGCTAATCTCAGCCTGGATTTGAGATGGATGGAAAACAATGATGCTCTGACAATTCTTCTTTTAACAAAATACTCTTTTCCATATCAACATCCTGAGACTGATCTCAAGCTGAAGATTACTATTAAATAAACGAAACAACAAGGTTCTTCTCATTTACTTTCTCGTCTCTAGTTATTAGGACTGTTCAATTCCTTTAAAAAGGAAGCTTAAAAATGTATACAATTATGGATGGGGCATCTTTTTACAAACAATTAAAGCAGCCATGACTTTTTTCTAATTTATGTATCTGCTCTGGAAAGTGATTTTAGCTGTCTTACAACTACTGGGTGTGAATGGTGGCAGATTTGAATAAATGGAATGTTTCATTATGTTGATAACTACTAATATAGGATCAAATGTATTTCCCTATCATTCCCAATATGGCCAATCAATACAAACATGCAAAAATGTATCATATTCAGTTTTGCTTTCTATTGTTGTATTAGAGTTGCTTATATTTGTACTAAAGAAGTGATTTGTACATATTTTCCATTTTTTAAAATCTTACCACAAAGTATTTAATTCATATCAGTACATTTTTATGATGCTTTCCTAATGGATAAGAATCTATTTGCAGTAAAATAAAGTAAATTGAGATGTTTCATTATTTAAAAGAACTTGAGCTTCTCAGGAACATTTATACTACCACTGATTTGTGACAAGTATAGTAATGGAAAAATCATGCAAGAAAATAATTTCTATAATGAATTCCATTTTAATATGAAGAAACAAAGATGAGATGCTAACAATGTAACCATCCATTCAATAATTTGTTTCTAGACAATACTCTGTAAATTAAATTTATAATATAACATTAAAAAGTGTGTGATTTACAAACATTGATACCAACAAAAATTCACCAGGGAGCATGATTTGTGCAAAGCCTACTTAACATCTTATCTGAAATTTTACTCACCAGCTACTCGCTCATCAGTCTCCCTATTTCCATCATCTGAGTATCTTGCAAAATCCAAGGAATCAAGAGTGCTTATGCTTCCAGCTCGATCTAAAGAAAAAATAAAGGGAAATATCTTGTTTTCAAAAAAGATAAAACTACATGCAAAGGACAATTTTCATGCAGTATATTAATTTTTCCACAACTTACAACAAATTTCATTCTAAAAAAAAGTGATTTGCAAAAGGTTAAGTTTTATGATTCACTAAAACTGAAAAAAAATGCCCACCTCTAAAGTTACACTTCAAGTTTAATGCCTATCAACTTCGATAGCCGGGTGGTCTAGTGGTTAAAGCACCAAACTAGAAACCAGGAAACAATGTGTTCTAGTCTGGCCTTAGGCATGAAAGCCAGCTGGGTTAACTTGGGCTACTCATTCTCACTCTCAGCCTAATACACCTTACAGCAGGGGTCCACAACCACCGGTCCGTGGAACAAGTCCTACCGGGCCGCTGGCTTGCTGGGCGCCGCCATCTTGTTTTGATAAAAAAGTGCTTCCGGTGAGCTTTTCCGGGTAGAAAGCTCACTGGAAGCACTTTTTCATCAAAACAAGATGGCGGCGCCCAGCTGATGTCGGTACCGGGCCGCGCCATAAAAAAGGATGGGGATACTGGGCCGCGGCGTAAAAAAGGTTGGGGATCACTGCCTTACAGGAAGGAGGAAAGAGTATTATGTATATTTGCAACCTTAAGTTATTTGTAAAAATAATAAAGGTAGAATATAAATAAATGAACAAAAATAAACTTAACTTTCTTATATTTTTTAAAAATAAACTTATCTGTCTTCTCTTCATTTGCCTTTTCCCATAAATATATTCCTTTAGACACAACTTTCTGAATGCAAACAATGCAGACATAAAACTGCAGTAATGGAAAGAGTGCATGCTTTATAGTATGAATGTTTCTGTAATCCTGAAGCACTGTGATTGATGCCCATTGTAATATGGGCTTCACTGAGTTTCTATTAATAAATTGATAGATTCTGATTAAACAAACCCTACCCAACACAATGTACCATTACAGCTTTACAGAATACACTGGATCACCATTCACTGTTTTTGTTCCCAAAAGTAGTGAACCCCTAGCACAATTAGCTCTCTTTAAGGGGCTATGTTGTACTATGGTTTAAAAACCACCATGTTTAGATCCACAAAGCCAAAACAATTGATAAACATGGCTTTGTTCCTTGTTTGCCAAGTATACTACATCCAAGACTGGCTGAATTCTGTTTTCTTTCATAATGTAGCAGAAAGCTTATTTTATAAAGTAATTCTTTCATTAATACTATTTATATTTTAATCATTTGATCAAAGTTTAAATGTTTTTAAGAACTGAATTTTTAAAAATGTGCATTGCTCTATTTTTGTTTTTATTTCTATTTTTCTATTTACAGTACTTATTTATCTATTTCTGGATATTGAGGCAATAAGACTATAAAACATGGGACATTTCCCCCCCAAAATTCACTAATGTAAATAGACTGGAAATACTGTCTTGATAGCAACTCATTCCATGTTTAACTCAATATAGTTGGTAAATCCAAACAGGTGTTAGATGAACAACACCTGTTTAGTACCTTAGTAAACAATCATTTTCACATGTAGAAGTTCTTCCAAAACTTATACAAATATATACAAATGCTTGGAAAAATTGAACATAATCAAAAGAGAGTCTCTCAAGACAGTACACAAGGCAGCTGCATATCAATACCCATTACACAAATATGTGTTTGCAACCACTTCAAGAAGTAGCTACTGACAAACATTCCTAGCTAATGATGCCTATTTCATTGTGAAGAGGTTGGAGGTAACAATGAATCACAACAAAAAAGTTGAGAGTAGGAGGCTTCTAGGAGGCAAACTACTCTTAGCTTACCCTTAAAGCCCTCCCACAAACCTTTAAAAATGGGGGAAAATATAAATTTCCAGGCCATTTTGGGTCATTTTTCAAGGTTTGAAAGGATATTAATACAAACTAAAAATTGATGTTTATCCCAATAGAGTTAAATGGCTCTAGAATGATGGCAGTCAATTTCCAAGTTATATGTTTGTGGGTGAGGGAATTATACCAATATTTAGCAAAAATAATACTGGAGATGTTTCTAATTGTCATTTGTGGCCATTTATTGAGAAAAAAACATGTTAAAGAGCTTTTGTGTTGTAGGCTGGGTACACATCTATAGAAGTGAGCAAAACTCAAAAAGAAGTTATATATTTACAAGTTACTGACATACAGTCATATTTGGGCAAGCACAGAGTTAAATGTTTTAGAAATGTTCAGTAATAACATTTAAACATGACACAATTCTAAACATGGCACTTAGAAGGATTAAATATAGCCTAGACCATGACTGTCAAACTCCTGGCCTATGGGCCAGATGCATCACGCACTGGCCACACCCAGTTTAGCAAAGGGGAAAAAAGTCCCGATCATCATGTGACACCGCTATGACGCTGTGAGTTTGACACCGCTGGCCTAGACTTTTAGGATATACAAATGAGCTTGTATTTGAGGTGAAAATTTCTACTAAAAACAGGAAACAGAGTATAGAAATACTCTTCTACAAAAGTAATTTTATAGGACACAAAAGGATGCTCATGAGGAGAAAGAAATAATAGATGCCAAGCAGAAAGCAGAGCAGAAGCACAGAAACAATAAATGTAAGAGAAGAGGATAAGTATTTTATGGGACAATGTATTTTATTCTCTAATATCAAAACCAGTTGCTTCCTTTCCATTGTCTTTAATCCCATATGGAATTCTTCAGGATGCTGGAATTGTCTCGACCAACTTGGAAATTCCCTTTACTGAAAAAACTATTGCTGAACATAAAATTAATACTGATTTAAGCAGATCTTTAGAGGTGAATCTTTAGCTCAATTAGTATTGACACTGGTGTCCTTGGAGCAAAAAAATAATAGAGGGCTTGATTTATTATGGACTCAACACCCCTCTTCTCCCAATTTGTACTATGCTATGTCTGGATGAAGCTGGGAGAACACACAAGCAGAAAACATTTAATCTCCACTTCCAGAGACATAATTAACATTTCATATTTCTCCTATAATAAATTCTTGCATCTTCTCTTTACTGTCCCTAAGTACCGTATTTGCCGGCGTATAAGACGACTTTTTTGCCCCGAAAAACATGCCTCCAAGTGGGGGGGTCGTCTTATACGCCGGTATATCCACTGCCGGCTTTCGGAGGCTTGTTGGACGCAGCGAAGGCGCCTCTGGCTTCCTGGATCCCCTGCGTCGCTTCCGCTTCATCCCGCTCGCCTCGCTCCGCCCGAGGCTGCAGCCTTACTGCTCTTCCCACGGCCCCTGGCACTCTGCCCTGCCGCTGCAGCCCCGGGGATTTCTGGAGGGCGTTTCCAGTGGTGGTGGGGGGTCGTCTTATACGCCGGGTCGTCTTATACACCGGCAAATACGGTACCATATTTTTTGCACTCTAAGACACTCTGGACTATAAGATGCACATTATCTTTAGAGGAGGAAAACAACAAAAAAAATCTGTCTCTGCCTCCCAGTATCCATCCAGTATTCATCTGGCTCACGTCCTTGTAGCAAACAGCCTAGTCAGCTTCAGCACATTATTGCAGCCCCAGCATGTGGTTCGTCAGGGCTCTGCTCCTTTACAACAACAGTCAACTGAACTGAGCTGCTGCCGCTGGCGGGAAACACTGCAGCCTTCACTGCCGAGCAGCTGGTTTGCGGTTGGATCAACCTCCCAGAATACCGGCAATCAGCTGTTCTAGGCAGTGGGATCACCACCGTCGCCTATTGCCACCTGCCTGTTTGCCACCACCATTGGTGGCGAATGGGTGGTGGCAGAAATCCCCAGCGCTTACAACAGCTGATTGGCGGTATTCCAGGCCAATCCAATCACCAGTCAGCTGATTGGCAGCAAAGGCTCCAGCATTCCCCGGTGGCAGCGCACCAACCCCCTCCCCCCACTGCAATATTTGCTCTAGAAGATGCACAGACATTTCCACCTACTTTTTTGGGGGGGGAGGATGCGTCCTATAGTGCAAAAAATACTTTACTTTCTATTTGTCCCATTATATAGGAAGGCTTTTACACTGGCAAGCTTGGATCCGTTTCCAGCAACGGTACTGTGGGGAATTTTAATGGCACTCCTTACCAATATTATTCAGATTCTTATGTCAAGACCATAGCGCATATATTTATGAAATGTATAATTTGCTACCTATGGAGTATAGAGCTAATTTTTCCTCTTATCAGAAACTACTCAAATCAATCTCCCAAAGCAATTGTGCACTATTTTCCAAAATACTGGACCAAGAGGTTTCCAGAATGATGGCCATATTATGATGGCATAATAAACAATAAATTAAAACATTTGGAAACTCAAGAACTTTTATAGAGTCAACATAGGAACTTATAATTTACTTAACAATGTAATAACAGAGGTTACATCTTTCTGGTTATGGCCAGATATTACCTTGAAATTTTTGATCAGTTTCTTCCTGGTAGAATTCTGCTACGAGGAAATAAGTTTCTCTTCATTTTTTATTCATTTTTAGTCACTCAAGGCCACTTCCTTGAGAGGACTTGTGTGACTTTTGTCAGATTAGTAATTCTATTTAAGCATTGCTGAATTTATTGTGATGCTTTAGTTAAAGATCAACTCTCCCTTTCCCAACATACCTAAATCTACGTGTCCATTCTAAAAACCATAGTGTATCAAACTTTTTTTCTCAACTACACATATTTATATGTCAATGTGTGAGACAGTTTCTTTTCACATTCTATTAGATTTTTAAATATAATAGAACTATATTCAAAAATGCTGATGTCCACTCATTCATGGGGAAGTCAGAAACATCCTATAATAGAAATTTCAGAGTTGCATCTCTGCCAGGACTAGAAAACTACAAGGAGCAAACCATCCATCTTCATGGCTAGGGGAAAAACAAAACAAAAGGGAGTTTCAAAGGTGAGCAAAGGAGACAAATAATAGTATTTTGGAAGACTCTAATTTCTACAAGTTCTAATGGGCTTGTAGAAAAAAAATATGAGTTTAAAGGGAC